TCACCCAAGCTGTGGGCTCTGTGACCTTGCATATGATGTTGTCCCTCTCCATGCTGTCGAGCTCCTCTTTGAGTCGACTTCGCAGTGCAAAGGGGATCCTGCGTGGTTGGAAAATGGCAGGTGTAAGTGTTGGGTTGATGCTGAAGGTGCATTCCCCTGGGAACTCTCCAGTGCCCTGAAATACATCTGCAAACTCTTTAAGTAAGCTTTGTGAGTCGATGTTGATATTTTCTTTCCCTTCAGTCACAGCCATTAGGCTCCTCTTTGAGTCGGCTTCGCTGTGCAAAGGGGATCCCGCTTGGTGGGCAAACGGCAGGTGTAACTGTTGGGTCGATGCTGAAGGTGCATTCCCCTGGGAACTCTCCAATGCCCTGAAATACATCTGCAAACTCTTTAAGTAAGCTTTGTGAGTCGATGTTGGTATTTGTTTTCCCTCAGTCACAGCCATCACAATTTGGATGAGATTTAGGTCTCTGCAGGCTTTCATCACCAGAATTGGTGGGGCACTAGTGTTAACAATGTGAAAATCCAGTAGCAGTCACTGTTTTTTATGTCTACATCTTAGCTTACATATGCCGTCCACACTCAGTGGGTGCCCTCCATAATCTGTGAGTTTCTGAGTTGCGGGTCTCAGTGTGACATTTTGAAATAGGGTTCAAAACATGTTTGCTGGAATGGTGTTGGCCTGTGCACCAGTGTCCACTTTAAATCTTACTTTTCTTGGGGGTGATCCAAGTTCCTCATCAGTGTGACGCTCCAGTGTGTAGTCATTTTCTTTGACTGAATGAATTGTCTTATAGCGAGGTTTTGATTTCTCTGGGGCCTTAGATCTACATGCTTTTGCAAAGTTGTTCATCTTTTTGCATTTCATGCACTGCTTTCCTTTGGCTGGACATATGTCTTTAAAGCTATGGTGCCCTGCAAGTGACTGCATGTTCTGTAGGTGGCAGTTTCGTCCCTTGCCCTCTTAGCTTTTTGTGATGCATCATGTCTATGTGATTTTCTTGAAAATGCGTGCACTGTAGCTTGGTGCTCTTTTGTTGTTCCCATAGTCTTTAGCTGCTGTTTTGCCAGCTCATAGGATCATGCAATATCTATGGCTTTGTCTAAGGTGAGCGCTGCACCCTGGCTAAGTAGCTTCTCACGCACATGGGGTGAATTGGTCACAAACACTATGCGATCATGGATCATTTCGTCGCTATTTGGGTAGCCACAGTCTTTAGCTAGGAGTTTTAGCTCCGTGACAAACTGTTCGAATGACTCATGTTCACCTTGCAATAGTTGATGAAACTTGTGTCTTGCATATATGGGGTTGGCCTTGGGTGTGATATACGGTGTGTACTTATGTAGTAAGTCCGTAGCTTTTTGGCTTCCTCTGTTGTGAGGTTCCACGTGTTATAAATATCACGTCCCTTTTCCCCAATCCATAAGAGGAGGTAGCTGCACTTATCTGCTTCGTCCTTTTCGCGGAGAGGACCAGTGAACATCAGCTCTGCGTGCTGTTGGAATTTCCACCATGCTTCAGGAAGGTTCGCGGAATCCCAGTCCATCCTCGGAGTGTGAACGCCGTAGGACTCCATCGTTGTGCTGGATAGGCAGTAGATTCGCTACTCTGATACCATGTAATACTTGTTGTATTTTGTGTTGGAGGACTTACAAGCTATAAATAAAGACTGGAGATCGACAGGTTATGTTTACTCATGCTCTTTACTGTAGGCCATCTTGACTCACACACCATCCGGATCTCGTGAGACTTATCCATGTAATGCATTCATACAAACAATTACAACTAAGGTTGCCATCTGGTGGCCAGGATGTTACAGAGTCCTCCTCGCCTGCCCCGACTCCGTCTCCGGGTTGCTCTCCTGATTTCAGCCTGCTCCTGGTGCTCCGGAGGGTCCCCGCAGGCGATGGCGGCTTTCCTCGCTATTGTTGTTATTGTCGCCGGAGCGAACAATGAGTTGTAGCTCCAATGGTATGAAACCAGTAAATTCCCAGTGGCTTTGTGAGTTGGCGATATCCAGCAATGCCTGTCTGTTGTATGTAAGCAGTGCATGACATTTGTGCACTGCAGAAAAAGCAAAAAACACACAAAAAAGAAGAAAACGAAGAAAAAACCGGCAGTATGGAGGTCCAGAATAATTAGAACAACAAAGGATTAAACTGACATATAAACTGTGGTATAATAGTGTCTTGATAGTTGGGTTTTCCCGTTCTACAGATTAGTTACTGTGTGTTGCCTGCAAAGATGCCCTGAAGTCAGGGAGCAAAAGTCTCATGTGTACAATAAACACTGCACATGAAAACTACAGCATGACTGGCTCCAGTGTAGTTCTGCAAATGTGCACAAATATGGTGTGTACCTCTCTGCCCATTTTAAGGTAGGTAGGTCATCACCAGTGTATACCTGCATATACACACTTTTAGAACTCTGTATTAAATGTAACCACGTGTCTCCTCGTCACACCACTTTGACCACAGGCCATGTGGCCCTGTACTTAACCACAGGCCTTGCCAAACAAGCCCCACCCCTACACTGACACTCTCACTCAGGTGTATGAAATGTAATCACACCATCTGTTATGCAAAACTGCTGTGGCCAACATTCCCTCTAGCTAGCACAAAATCTAATGTGTGTTCCATGTTCCTTCCCCCCACTGTCACCCTCTGTGTCCACCCCTCCCACAGCCAAGAGTGGAAAAACAGCAGTAACACTAACAGTGCACATGCTCATTGTATTAATTAGTTCTGTGACTCAGTCTTTTCATTCTGAAGAACCTGGTATCTCACTTTATGTCTGCATCACAAAACTTAAGTTTAATTTAGTTATTACAGGAAATAGTTAGTGCTATCAAGATAGAAGTCCAAACAGCTTGAGAAACCAGTGGATGCTGCATCCATGCTGATTTAAACTCCTTTTGTTTATGAAGTCTGAAAATTGGCTACAACCTATATTTTTATAGTAATAATGTGTTGTGAAAACAGTGTGACCATGTGAAAGGGGTTCATGATGACCTTACAGAGTATTATCAGCTGAATCTGTAGCTCCCCTCGGCTGTACAGAGCTGTAATGAGTTTCAGCTCACTGTTTAGTGTTGTTGGTCTTTGGTTCTTGTTACCTTTGCTAACTCTGAGAGACGAGACAGTCCAAGTAACTTCAAAACAGTGCTGATTTATTCAAAGGATGACAGGTAAAATTAACATTACACGCTCAGGTATCTTGCACCTCCAAACTGCACACAGGCAGATGTAAGATGAAAGACCCTGAACCCACCAGGCCTATACATTATATCCCCTCGGTTGGCCTAGCCCCATACTACACAGAAACGCCAACCGAGACGTCTCTGTTACCAGCTTTGCAGCTGGTCATAGCAGTAGTCAAAACATGCAGCAAATCAATGTGTGTGTGTCTGTTGATTAAGTGGTGTGTAACTAAAAACATTCTCACGACCTCTAGTAACATGTCGTGACTTAAACATAAGAACATATTATGGCTAAGGCTACAGTTATACACATCATAATAATAATATTAAACACCCTGTCTGCTGACTGTCATCAACTCTTCTCTCTAGTTATCCTTGACCAGATGTACCCTGTAGAAACTCATAAGCATGACTAAGCATTTAACAGTCTAACTAGACATCCTATCTCCACTAAACATTTCTATTACATAAAGTATCTATCCAATATCTATCTGACTAAAAATATCTAACAGTGTCCAGACTTTATTGTTCTGGTTTACTCTCGGTGCTCTCACACTATTATTTGGCAGCTGTTTTCAAAGAAAATACTCTAACTATTTACTGTCCACTACCTGCTCAGCAGCAAACAGCTGGTGGACTTGGTGGACCATTTAGCAACTAAAGAGCCATCTCAGCAGATGGTGCAGACCAAAAATAGAGCTAGAAGAGAGAGAGTACCAAAGTTAAATTCACCAGGTGACCAGAAACACAACTGCAACAGAATGTTATGGGACATAGCTGTTCCTTTGCAACTGACAGTTTAGTTTAACGATCACGCCATAAATTTAACAAGTGGTTATTTATTGTAACTATGACAACAAAGGTCCCCTAACCTCAATAACGTAGTCATTTAAACCCAGAAGGTTTACTCAGCCTAAACAAAGTCCTTATTTTAATCCAAACCACCGCCAGAAGGTTCCGTGTCCGAGCTCCAGCCGACCCAGGGCCTTTCTGTGTGGAGTCTGCATGTTCTCCCTGTGCCTGCGTAGGTTCTCTCCGGGTCCTCCGGAGTGAGTGTGAGTGTGTGTCTACATGTCACCCCTGTGATAGGCTGGTGACCTGTCCAGGGTGGACCCCGCCTCTCGCCATGTGACAGCTGGGCTTGGCCTCAGTGCCCCCACAACCCTATTCAGAAATAAGCGGTACAGATAATGGATGGATAAAACTGGTTTGTTTTTCACTAACAGTTTGTAATGATTTTGAAACGCACACATGGTCCTGCTGGTAGTGGCATCAGATCAGAAAGCACTTCTGTTTTATTCTATAGAGTAAACTCTGGGAGGATGATATAGGAAAATGCACAATGTATAGTAACCATAATATAAATACACACATCCATGCAGTAATCGAAGTTTTCCCTTAGCAGTATACTGAAGTCAGGTTTTTTTTTAAAGCAATGAACTTGTGTGGGTGTGACTTATTCAGACGTCTAGAGGCTAATCAGGGTCAGCTCCAGTTTTAGTCAGAATCTCAACTAGGTTATGGTGAATATGAGGACACATCACTGCAAGCAAATATTTTTCCTTTCACTATGCTGCTATACTGTCACAGTGAAGTTACCCTATGTGAAGCCTTTGTGATGCACATGCTCACTTGTAAAAAGCTGATTAGGCAACATGCATGTCAGTCTGAGCAGTAGTCAACATTTTGGACCAAAGTTAGTTTAATGTACAGACAGATCGATGCAGACTTGGTTTTCCTCCTCTTCGTTCCCTCCTTGTAGAAAAAACAAGTGCTTTGGTGTGTGTCTCTGTGCAGGTGAAGTGTGACCAGTATTGGCCCATTCGAGGCACAGAAACATACGGGATGATTCAGGTGACCGTGCTGGACACTCTGGAGCTTGCTACATACAGCGTACGCACATTTGCTCTCTATAAGGTGAGAACTCTCTGAAAATGTTGTGTGTATGGAATGTGACGGTGTTTGGCAGAAGACAGAGCAGTTCTGAAAGAGCACTAAGCACCTTTCAGACATGCACTTTGTTAGCTAAGGGTGATGACAGTTTAACATGTAGGACTCACTTTCATGTGGCGGTCTTACTAGGTCAGACATAGTAACATATCCATAACCCTTTAAACTGGTCTAAAATTAATGCTGCCAGATTAACATAAAGGCTGTAGCAGCACAAGAGCAGACATGCAGAGAAAGAGATTAAATGTGTCTTGTTTTACCTTCTCTGTCACTATAATAGACGTAATATTATAATCACCATCTTTTATGGACAATATCAATTTAATAAACTAGGAAACACCATAAGAGAGCCTATTTCACATTGCTGAGGAGATAGTTCTTAGATTAACTCCGTTGCTCTTGTTGTAAGACTGGAGCACAAGGCATTAAAGACAGCAATAAAGATAACAATAGCAATAATACAATTCTGATGAAGAGTTCAGCAGTCTCTCTCTATATTTTCAGTTTTTATTGATGGCAAGTGCATGGACAAATGAATGAATAGCTACTGTAGCAAAATGCTTTGCATGCAGTATGTGAGCAAATGGGACTTACATAAACATTTAAATTAGACCTGAAGTCACTTAATGCTTCTGCACTGTCAGACTTCTGCAGTGAGTGACACAAGCCATCACTTCACCAGATAGCTGAAGCCACCAATGTTTGGTATTTTATCTCTGAAAAGAGCTCAAGAATATAAGAAGACTGTGTCTTGAATGGTGAAAAGGTGAAAACTATGGCTTTCTGAATCTAATGAATAAAATTTACCATTGATGTACTGTAGATTTGATGAAAATGGTTTGTTTTGACAGGGCTATACCAGTGTGCTCACTTCAAGATGTTGTTATTCATCAAGCACTGTCTAGAAAGTGGTTTATTAATGCTTTTGAGTGTCTTTCTGAAAGCATTTGTGATGCACAGCAATATTCTCATGTGAGATTCCTACATTAAACGCTCAATGAAAACTTGATCAGGTAGTCACTGCAGTGTATGTTAGTGAATCTTTTAGTTGTTAGGTATAATTATCAATCATTGAATATTCGAGTGTAAGATCACATTTTTTTTGAATGACGTGTAAATGTGCATCTGTCTGCTCATACAGAATGGCTCAAATGAGAAGAGAGAGGTTCGACAGTTCCAGTTTATGGCCTGGCCTGACCACGGAGTGCCTGAGTACCCCACCCCAACACTGGCCTTTCTACGCAGAGTCAGGACCTGTAACCCTTCAGATGCTGGTCCCATGGTGGTCCACTGCAGGTGAACTACACCTCACATCAACACAAAAGCCTCTACATGCTTGAGCCAGCATGTGTATCCAACAGTTAGTCATTTTCTGAAACCGAAAAACCAACAAACATCCACGCTTTCTGCAGCAAGTGGTCAGGTGTGCAGTAAGTAGAATAGGTTTGAACTTCTCTCTCTCACTCAGACTTTAGGTACTGTAGATGATGGCTGTAGATGTTGTAATTGCTTGCAATGACCAGTCTTGACATTAGCAATGCCAGTCAATGGACACCTGTGAGTAACGTCATAATACAGCTTGTCTGAAGCAAACTGAGGCCTTAAAGGTAATAGAGGAAGGAGACTATGTACTTTAACCACACTTATGTAGAAATGTACTCATACTTTGCTTGAACTGTTCAGTACTATTCACAGTAAAGTTATCAAATGAATAGTTTTATAGCAGAGAACAACGCAGAAACCCTTCAAAGTGTTATTTTTACATTTAAAAAAATTAATAATAATAATAAAGCTTTATTTATATAGCACTTTACAACTCCGGGGAGCAAAAAGTGCTGCACAATAGAACATGTGTATCAACAAAAAAACAATACTAAAACAATAAAACCTAAAAACACAAATTTCCAAACTCGGAGCAATAAAAATTTCCATCAAGATTCAAATAGCATAAAACAACAAGTTAAACGATGTCCCTTCGGGGGAAATAAAACGGATTAAACACCAAAGGCCTGTTTAAAGAGGTGAGTTTTTAAAGTTGACTTAAAAACCGCTAGCTCGGTTATGGACCAAAGCTCTAAAGTGGTAAAGAATTCAAGAGTCTAGGGCCATACACAGCAAAAGAGCGGTCGCCCCATTTGTTATATCGAGACCATGGGACAACCAAGGACACGTGCTCTGAGGAGCACACAGCTCTGTGTGGAGCATAGATAGATAGCAGCTCCGACAGGTACAGCGGAGCGAGGCCATATATAGCCTTAAAGACAAATAGCAGCATCTTAAAATCAACTCTCCACTGTACTGGCAACCAGTGTAGTGAGAGAAGGACGGGGGTGATGTGGGCATACCTGGGAGTGTTCGACAGCAGCCGAGCCGCAGCGTTTTGGACCAGTTGAAGCTTCAGAAGCAAAGACTGAGAAATACCAACATAGAGGGCCTTAGAGTAGTTTAGTCATGAAGTGATAAAAGCGTGGAAGGCTGTTTCTAAGTCTGCACGCGATAAGAAAGGCTTCACCTTCGTTAAAAGTCTCAGGTGAAAAAAGCTGGTCTTAACCATGGCCCTGATCTGCTTATCAAAATTAAAACCGCTATTAAATATCACGCCAAGGTTTTTTTTACCGTATTTATCAGCCCAACCGTTCTTTGACGCTTTATAAGACACATCGAAGGAACAAGAGAGACAGAGATGTGAGTCTAGGCAGTGATCTCGCTCCCTGCTGTTTCACTGACCTTCACCTCACCTCTCCTGGAGAGTAGTTAGGTCAGTGATGTCGCAGTCTGGCACCACATACAATAATAAGAAGGAAGCAGGACACCTGGATTTACTGCATGTGTATGGCATGGTAAAATGTTCTTTGTTATGATTAACTAATTAAAAGCTAAAGGTAAGTTTAAAAAATGGTGTGCACAGCATGTCATTTGGTGCCAGCTACAGACTAATGGTACTGTAGATGGTAAAACAGTGTAACGATGTGTTCAGAATGTAGACCAAGCAAGCTTTTGCTTCACATTATTTGGAAGAATTTCACTGCGGGAGTGTTTTTGTTACTTTCTTTTTATTTGCCTTCAAACAGCCAATGTGTACAAGTATACAGTATAGACTGTTCCTAGCTAGCAATGCACACAACAACTGTGTGTTCGGAGTGTGTCCATGTTTGTTTCTGACTGCTGTCAGAGCTCCCTGGAAACCTTCTGTCTGATTACCACATTTTGGTCAGTCTGAGACATTCGGAACCTGTGCCAGCACACCTTAACCTCAGTCTACTTGGCCCAGGGTGTGTCCACCCTTTAGGGAAAAAGATTTTTGCAACTTTAACTAATTCACATTCTCCTGCTTCAAATAAAAGACTAACTCAATAATCACATATATTGTTTTGCCTCAGCCTTTTTAATGGGTGTAAACAGAAAGAGCACGTCTTGTGCGTCATTTGTCCACACCCTGAATGTCCTTTGTGGCATCAGCCATGTTTTCTGATCATGCTTCCCAGTGCTGGTGTGGGCCGGACAGGCTGCTTCATTGTGATTGAAGCCATGTTGGAGAGGATGAAACATGAGAAGTCCGTGGACATTTACGGTCATGTGACGTGTATGCGAGCTCAAAGAAACTACATGGTGCAGACAGAGGATCAATATATATTCATCCATGAGGCCCTGCTAGAAGCCGCAACATGTGGCAACACAGAAGTCCCTGCCCGCAACCTGTATGCCCACATCCAGAAACTCAGCCAGATCCCTCCTGGAGAGACTGTCACTGCCATGGAACTGGAGTTTAAGGTAGGTGCCTTTTTGTTTTTGATTGAGAAACTGTACAACTCAATAACTAAAAGGGCACTCCAATTATACAGTATACCTGGCTCTGCTGAGTTTTTCTTGACTGACAGACTTTGTGATACAACAATGCATCATGAACTTAAATGGCATTGTAAAATAAAAACAGATTGCAAAAGTATAATCCAGTCTAAGGCTAACCAGAAACCAATACAAAGATCAGTGAACAGGTGCAATGTGAATTTATTCTCTCTTGTTAGGGTTCTGGCAGTGGTGTTTGCCTGCGATGTGTGTTAGCTAGACCACTGAGGAGCATGTGGCAACAGTTTAATCTAATGGTTCCCAACTCTTTTCTGTCATGCTCCCACCTGTTTCATTCTTGGCAGCCTCACTAGAATCAGAGCAGTCTTGAATTTAATTCATAGGCCTTTGTCACTGCAGACATTTTGAGTTGTCTTTCCTGGAACGACACAGCTGGTACCAGTAACATTAATAATGCTCCATTACAGCAATGATGCAATTCAAGGCAACACTTAATAATTGCTTAGGTTATTAATTATACCCATCTTTGTCAGGTGAAAATGTCTGCTGTGAATACGTTGTAGTGCATGTATAATGGACCTCTTGTTGGATACAGCCTTAACAAATGCCTTTGAAACACTGGAAGGATGAGTAGAAAACAGATTCTTTCTCAGAGAAGGAGCTGTGGGAGCTTAACTTCTGAGCTTCAAATGGCAGACTGTTGGAGAGGGGGAGCTTCGGGAAATGCAGAGTGATGAGAGTGAAGGAGTGAAGGAGAGAGGGCTGGGACAAACTGGGATGTCTGACAACATAAAGATAAGCTCCTACTGGGCTAGGTGGTTCTACACAGGAGGAGCTGCAGCCTCTGACCATGTTCAACTGCACACTCCGTCCTGAGTGACACCACGGTGATTTAACCAGACTCTTCTAGTTCAGTTTGGGGGCAAGCCATAACCCAAATTATGCTGCTTGTTCAAGCAAGCAGGATGGCTGTAAATCTGGACAGAGCATAATTAGGTTTTGATCCTCAGCTCACTGCAGTCTTCTTTCACAAACACTTCTCAGACTGACACTTTCTCTGGCAGAGCAGAGGAATCACATTAACGCCAGTCAGCAAAGCTGGCCCTGAAAAAGCACTCACATCTGGGATGTTGCTTCCAAATATGTTATTTCTCTTGGTTTGACATGCACTGGCACTGGCCTGTCTTCTTGAGCTCACAGTGAATGTATGTAGGTTTGTTTTGACTTTTGTCTTCAGAATAGGTTTTAACACACTGTGACATCAGGCTTTTTTAGAAGTCAGAGAACAAAGTTGATTAACTCCAAGTGAATCATTTACATGCACCAGTAAGAGTGTTCACTCCCTGCGCCCTTTAACAACCTTGTCCACACACCACACTTCACCGAGGCTGATTGTGTTAGATATAAAAGACAGGAGGTGGACCACAGAGACGGTCGGTGTAGTTATGAAGGTGCTCTGGGCTGAGGACTGGGGGTCTGAGGAGCATCAGAGACAGACATGTCCTCCCCTCTGTCTTCACAGAAACTGGCCAGCTCTAAAGCACATACGTCAAAGTTCATCAGTGCCAACCTGCCATGTAACAAATTCAAGAACCGCCTGGTGAACATCATGCCTTTTGAGTCCACCCGGGTCAGCCTGCAGCCAATCAGAGGTGTGGAGGGCTCCGACTACATCAATGCCAGCTTCATTGATGGATACAGGTGAGTCCACTGAACTCATTTCACTGTGGAATGTGAAACACAGGGACACAGAAAGGGGAGAATATTCTGCAAAAAATAGTCTAGGTATGGTAGAACTTCTGCAAAACTCAGTCTGCTCTGCAGCTGCACCTCTAATGAGCGTGGAGGTGGACCTTTTCTCTGGCAGCTGACAGCAGTAAGTTACAGGCTGCCATCCTTTAGTGGTGTCAGTTGTCAAAATTAATTGGTCTTATTCACAGACCATTTAAGTCTCTCCTTTTTTTCCTCTTGTAGATGGATAGCCTGTTTGAAGCAGGTGACATGCCATAGAAATGAAGTGATTATACTCATATTTCTGAGACACTGCTTCTGCCTGTGTCCAGAAGACATCACGGTCTTCAAGAAACAGATGTCAGTTTGTCCCTTTTGCAGAATGAAATAATGACTTCCTTTTACATTAACAGTATTACAACTTAATAAGTAAATACTCTACTATGGCCAAAAATAGTATTTACAGATGTTTACTTGTTACATGTTGAATCAATGTATCTTAACATGTATGCAAGGCCATGGCCACCTTTGCCCATTTGGCTATGAAGTCCTTAACATTTGGTGGAGTCACACTGCCACAGTGGCGAGTGTGCCTCTTCAGCTCTGGATTTCATCAGATCTTCTTAAGTCCGTCAGCTCTTACGAGTGAATGACTGCTTAGTCATTCATTTGTTCATGCTCACGTAGGTCTATGTTTCATGGATGTATTAAGAAGAACAGCACATTTATTAAAGTCAGGGCGCTCCTCTTAAAACCTTCATGATACATATAAGTTGGCAAAATATGCCGTAGAGTTTAATGTTACTCTAACACTGCACTGTAACATCATCATGTTTACAGTTTGTTGGTCAACCCATGTTGCCTTATGTTTGATACATCTAGATACTGTTTTTAGCTTGGAGAGGGAGTGTATCAGTCAGGCTAGAGGTGTGCTACATGTGAAATAATGTTACTTAAGTCTACAAGGTTTCCACTAGTTTTACTGGATAAGCAGTTGGAGGGATGTAATATTTGACTCTGTAAAGGAGAACTCCGAAAATGTTATCAAATGTTATAGATAGATTCATTGTTAGAAAGATCTCTTTTGCATCTCCTCATTTAAATACATAAATATAGCTACTCTAAAACAAAACATCAAAAGTGCATTTGTTCAACCCTGGAGGGGTGGGAGAAGAGATTTAACAGCTTTTGGAAAAAAGCTACATTTCATGGATCTGTATCTTTTCCCAGAAAAGAGCGGGGAGAACAGATTGTGTCCAGGATGGTTGGGAGCCCTTATGATACACACAGCCTTCCTTTGTAGACGGCTAGTGTATGTATCTTCCAAGGGTGGTAGTGTGGTTCCTATCACCGACTGGGCTGCCTTCACCACCTGCTTTAGATCCTTCTGGTCCTGTGCTGTACAGCGATATGTCAAGAGGCTCTCAGCGATGGCATGATAGAAGCCAAACAGCAGCTGTTGAGGGAGGTGGGCTGATCTAAAGTAAAGCCTCTCCTCGGCCTTCTTCACCTGATGAGAGATGTCTAAGGACCGAGTGAGGTCTGCCAAGATGTGGATTCCCAGGAATTTAAAGCTCTCCGCTCTCTCCACCACCTCTCCTTTTATGCAGAGGGAATTGCTTTATACGCCTTGGTTTCCTGAAGTCCAGTATCATCTCCTTGGTCTGTGTGATTTTAAGGTCCAGGCTGTTGTGGGAACTTCCATAGGCAGTTTGTGTGTAAAGAGAGTGTAGAGGACACACCCCTGTGCTGTGCCTGTGTTCTCCAAGTCTGACTTGTTGGGGTCTGCCACTCAGAAAGTCCAGAATCCAGGTACACTGTGAAGCAACTAGGTCAAAGCTTCTCTGTTTTTGAACAAGTCTACGTGGGATCACTGCACTGAATGCTGAGCTAACATCAACAAACATGTAGTGGTGAAAGTTACCGTGTTGTTTTCTCTGCTATC